GGTACGTAATCCACCTCCTTGAGAGGTGATAGATAGGTTGATGGAAGAATTCTTCTGTCAACCAAATGCTCTCTACACAGGCCCATGGGTCGGCTTTTGGATTTTTCACACCCCTGAACAATGTAGGTGGGTTGACCTAATTTTCTAGTGTAGACCAGCCCTAATTGAGAGTTAATGAGGTTTAACTGTGCATAAGTGTTCATACATAAATGCAGGGAGCAGAGGGAACAAGCAACACAATCTAGAAGTGATGCCCAGCAATGGGGAAAACCACTTAGTGCACACAGCTGAAAAGTGGTGGGATGATTCTCATAACTGAGAGTCAATTGGTAGAAGCTATGTAAGAAAGACATAAAGGGAAGGGGGACAACAGATAATGAATCCCATCATCTTTTAAGGAGCAGATTTTTGAACACTGATCAGTTCTTCTCCTCAAAAGGGTGGTTGCTGACACATTATGTATTATTTGTAGTGCAGTAGGGCTGAGGATTCCCAGTCCAGGATCAGAGCCCTATTATGCCAGGCACTGTACAGAGAGATAGTCCCTCCCCAAGAATGCATACAGTCTAGGTGTCAGACAGGGTGGGACAGATGGACAAAACAGACAGAGTCGGTGTGGGGTGGGAAGATAAGGTAATAAAATTAACAGGTTTTAGTAGAAAAATAGCAGTCTGGGCTCGCCTTTTTCTCAGTCTAAGCCACAGGGCCACGATGTGAAGGCATCATGGCAGAGGCAGGTTTTTAGGAGGGAGCTGGAAGAGTGGTGGATTTACACATAACAATACTTTATTACTTGTAGCATGGCCTTGATTTGCTAGAGCTGCTAGTTAATTCAAGACAACCCTAGGCTGACAGACTGCCAGTGAGATTTTATTCACTTCTTGTTTTATACGGACTTTGTTTGACCTTCTAATAAGGGAGTGCTAACGCTGTGGATACTATTAATAACCAAGTCCTGGCCCAGACATTCCCTCTTCCATGGGAAACCCTAGAGCAGGGGTGGGCAAACTTTTTGGCCTGAGGGCCACATCGCGGTTCCAAAACTGTATGGAGGGCCGGGTAGGGAAGGCTGTGCCTCCCCAAACCCTAACCCTATCTGCCCCCCTCAGAACTCCCCACCCACCCAACTCCTCCTACTCCTTGTCCCCTGACTGCCCCCTCCAGGGGTCCCCTGCCCCTAACTGCCCCCCAACCCCACCCTCTATCCAACCCCCCCTGCTCCCTGAATGCCCCGACCCCTATCCACACCCCCGCCCCTGACAGGCCCCCGGGATCCCACCCCCTATCCAACCCCTGCTCTAAAGCCCCTTTCAGAATGCGGCCCTGCGAACATAGGCGGAGGACTCAGGAGGAACAGGGGCAGCCGTGCAGCCGGAGAGAAGTGGGGGTTTCCCCTTCAAAGAGCCACTTCTCTCTGGCTGGCTGCACAGCCGCCCAGTGCTCCTCCTGAATCTTCCGCCTGTGTTAGCTGCACTCCTGCCACCCGCCTGCTCCCTTGAGGCTGCAAGTGAGCCTCCCTCCCTGCTCTCCCCTGCCCCTGCAGTGCAGCCCCCTCCTGTGCTGGCAGCGCTGAGGCTGCATGGGAGGGGGGTCAGTGTGGGAGGGGCCGGGGACTAGCCTCTCCAGCTGAGTACTCAAGGGCAGGGCAGGACAGTCCCGGGGGCCGGATGTGGCCCATGGGCCGTAGTTTGCCCACCTCTCCCTAGAGAGAGGAAATAGCTGCGAAGATTCCCCATCATGTTCTGATGTGATTGTTCCATTGGCAGCAAGGCATACCCTCCCCATCCCTCCACCATGAGGCCTCCCCCTGAACATGGTGGATCTCCAAGTGTCTGGGAGCAGGCCAAGGGTATTTGCTCAGATGCCCTGCTTACTCATCACTGCCTCTCTGGTCCCCAGTTTCCTGGCAGTGCGGCTTCACTGCAGCCATCGTCCCAAGGATCTCCACTTCACAGTGGTTTCCACTGCAACTCTGGGAAATGGAGAAACTCCATGGAAAAGCTAGTACAGCCTCATGCTGAATTATCTTTCCCAGGCAATCACCACAAAGACAGTGGATGGATGATGCCTGTCCACACATGCCTTTCCCTTCCTCAGTGAAGCCCTGCACAGCACCCTCGGTTAGCTCCAGAGGAGAGGGGCGCACTGCCACTTTTGCTGACCCTTGCTTCCACATTGATGGGGGGAGATCCACAGATGGAGGATTCCCCCTGACTGTGGATGTTGGAGTGGGGGGATTATCTGGGCATGTGATTTCTAACTTCAAGGTGCAGTCTGTGTAATACTTACCATATGGACATCTAATGCTGCCAGTATTAAAACATTCTTGAAATTTCTAAATATTATAGATGACAATCTACTGACTCAAAAAGTGTCGCAGCCAACATGGGGGGAATTCTATACTAGACCTTGTCTTAAAAAATAAAGAGGAACTGATCAGCAAAATAAAATAGTAGCTTAGGTACAAGTGATCACGACTTGATCACAGTTATAGTCTGCAAGCAGAATAAAGTTCAGACCACTAATATATACACTTTGTACTTTAATAGGACCAATTTCACAAAGCTGAAAACAATTATGATCCAAATGAGCTGGGAAGAAGTTAATCAGAAAAATTTATTTGGGAATCATTTAAGAGCATCTTACTAGATGCCCCAAAAGCCACAATTTCAGAATCGAGGAAGAAGGCCTTACTGGTTAAAAAAAAAGAGAGCTGGTTCATTGGGGAAGTGAAAGCAGCTTAAAAATTATATATAACAAATGGAAGAAAGGGGAAGTGGATAGTAATGAATATAAATCAGAAGTTAGGAATTGTAGAAAATTGATAAGGGAAGCAAAGGACAAAAGGAGAAATCTATGGCCAGCAGAGTTAAGGACAAAGAGTGTTTTTCAATATTTTAAGAACTAAAAGAATCCTGACAATGATATTGATCTGTCACTAGATGGATATGGTAAAATTATCAATAATAATGCAGTTGCAGAAAAGGCAGAAATGTTCAATATTTCTGTTCTGTATTTGGGGAAAAACAGACGATATAGTCTCATCATATGATGATGATAACACTATTTCCATTTTGCTAGTATCTCTGGACGATATTAAACAAACACTACTAAAGTTAGCCATTTTAAAATTAGCGGGTCCAGATAACTTGCATCCAATAGTTTTAAAAGAGCTGGCTGCAGAGCTTGCCATTTATGTTGATTTTCAATAAGTCCTGGAGTACTGGGAGAGTTCCAGAAGAGTAGAAAAAAGTTAATGTGCTAATATTTAAAAAGGGTAAATTATAGACCTGGCAGAATGACATCAATCCCAGGAAGATAATGGAGCGTCAGATATGGAACTCGATTAATAAAGAATTAAAAAAGGGTAATGTAATTAATGCAAATCAACATGGGTTAACAGAAAATAGACATTGAACAAACTAATCTGATTTTTTTTTAATGAGATTACATGTTTGGTTGATAAAGGTAATAGTGTTGACGTAACTATACTTAGACTTCTGTAAAATTTTTTAATTGGTACTGCATGAAATTTTGTTTAAAAAACTAAAATGATATAAAATTAACATGACACACATTAAAAACTGACTAACTGACAGGTCTCAATATGTAATTGTAAATGCGGAATGATTGAGTGGGTATGTTCCCAATGGGTCCCACTGGAATCAGTTCTTGGCCCTATACTATTTAACGTTTTTCTCAAAGACCTCAAAGTAAACATAGAATCATCACTGATAAAGTTGGCAGATGATACAAAAATTGGGGGAGTAGCAAATAACAAAGAGGACAGGTCGTTAATACAGAATGATCTGGATTGTTAAGTAAACTGGGCACAAGTAAACAATATGTGTTTTAATATGGCTAAATGTAAATGTATACATTTAGGAACAAAGAGTGAGGTCATACTTACAGAACGGGAGACTATCCTGGGAAGCAGAGACTCTGTAAAATATTTGGGGATCGTGGTAGATAATCAGCTGAACATGAGCTCCCATTGGGCCAAAAGGGCGAATGTGATCCTGGAAGATATCACTAGGGAATTCTGAGTAGGCGCAGAGAGATTATTTTACATATTTTGCACTGATGAAAGCTGCTGGACTATTGGGTCCAGTTCTGATGCCCAAAATTCAAATTGATAAATTGGGGAGGGTTCGGAGAAGAACCACGAAAACTATTAAAAGATTAGAAAAAATGTCATATAGTGATAGACTTGAGCTCAAGTTATTCATCTTAACAAAGAGAAGGTTAAGGGGTGACTTGATTACAGTCTATAAGTGCCTCCTCAGCCGCCCTGGAACCTGCATGGGGCATAATAAAACAAAAACTTTGCGGCCAAACCCCGCAACTGGGGCGGCCCCGGCAGAGAGTCTCCCTTGGTCTGTTATACCCACTGCCCATGCTCTGCAGTCCAGCAGACAAAGGTATAACACAATTCAATGGTTGGAAGTTGAAGCTAGAGAAATTCAGGCTGGAAATAAGGTATAAATTTTTAACAGTGAGAAAAATTAACCACTGGAACAATTTACCAAGGGTGGTGGTGGATTCCCCATCATTCACAATTTTAAAATCAAGATTGGCTGTTTTCTAAAATATGTTCTTTAGGAATTATTTTGGGGAAGTTCTATGACCTGTGTTATGTAGGAGATCAGATGAGATGATCACAATGGTCCTTTTTGGCCTTGGAATCTATGAATATGAACACCATATGCTTGGATGCCTAATCAACCTGTGCACCAGAGCTCCATGGTTCCTGTATGATTTTCATGCTCAGTAAAGAGACAAATAAAAAGCTAGCAGATATAATTTTATGATTATCCTAGACACAATTACTTTGGCCAGATGGCAGTCTCTCGAGCCTACGTTTTAACTACTGGTTCTAATTCAGTGCTATCCTGTCTGTCCTCTCAGCTTTGTAACTCACGCTGCAGGTTGGATTTGTATTCCACAACTTTCTGCTTTAGGTCTCTTGACTGATCCCCCTGCTTTTAACCCGCCTCACCATGAATACCATTGCTAACATAATACAGGAGCTGCGTGACTATTGGGCAGACCATTTCTCACGCAGATTTCTACCGAAGAGACCTCCCCTTCGCCGAATCACCTCCATTTCCACTTTCTACCTCCTGGACTACAGAACCCGGCAGGCTGAACTGGGTTTGGATTATGGCCCTCCACGGGCTCAGCTGAGTGATACCAAGTTTGTCTTCCAGGATGGCAAATGGCAAGGTGAGAGTCGCCTCTCTCATCGGCCGCCACTGCTGCAGTTATTCTCCTCTCATGACCGGGAACAGTCCTGTAAGGTCATGAAGAAGGAGAACAAGGCTCTCCTGGAGGAGAACAATTACCTGAAGCTGCAGCTCGAGCTGTTGATGGACATGCTGACAGAGACCACGGCCCAACTACACATGGTGGAGAAAAAGATGGACATCCCCACATGGCATACCAAGATGAAGAAGCCAAATAAGGTGTTGATGCTTAAGTCCTAGTAGGAACCTTGGATGCAAGACCAGGGAGTTTACACTTGCTTGGTTCCAGAAGTCTAAAAAATTCCTGAATCAAATTAACTTGTAGAGTGATTTTTGCTTTAATTGTATGTATTAAGTAAATTAGAATATATTTTATGACTGCCAAATAGACAGCAAGAAATCGGTCACTACAGTTCATTACACTTCAAAACCAAACCTGACTGTTCATGGATTGTGTCATAAAAACAACAGAAAAGCAGTTTTACCCATTATTCAAATGCCAAAATTGGTATTTAAAAATATTCTTGAACTTAAAATCATTTTTAACTAACAGTATAATAAAATAAAACTTAGCACTTTTATGGTACTGTTCATCTATAGACCTCAAAGAACTTTAAAGGAAATATCATTACCTCAATACTACAGTTGCAAAACTGATGGCAGATAGAGAGGAAGGATGGTCCAGTGGTTAGGGTACTAGCCTAAGAATCAAGAGACCTATGTTCAATTTTCTACTCTGCCAGGGGCTTCCTGTGCATGATGACCTTGGTCTCAGTTACATAAATGGGGGTGATACCTCCCTTCCTCTCAGTGGGTTGTGAGGTCTTTTAAAGATGGTGAGGTACTAAGGCAATGAGGATTCCTTAGAAGTGGGAGCTCAGCCTTTATGATACTCTTCAGGCTGAATCACCTGCGGATGGTCTGGGTCAGTGGTACCATCTCTTCTCCCTTAGGATCTGCTGGGTGTTATCAAGCCCCAAGTAGAATTATTTCAGAATTAAAAAAAACCCTGTCATCTTCTGAGTTCAGAGGCATTTTCAGGAACCATAGCAGGTCCACTGTAATATATATATAAAAATGAGGCCAAATTACTGTCTTCAGTGCAGTTTGAGCAGCCTGGCAGTAAGATGGAGAGTTCCCTTGGAGCTCTCCCTCCAGACCACCCTCTTGGCTATCCTCCAGATTCAGGGATCCATTTGCCTTTGTGTTGCTTTGTCTGTCTGTTGCACGGGGAGAAGAATGGCCAGTCAGTCTGTGTAATGGCAGATAAGACAGCCCCACCCCTAAATCCCCCTACAATGCAGCACAGAGCAGGGACCAGCCCTCCAAAACAGGGCTCCATGATGCTCCCTCTCCCGAATGTAGCCTCACCCAGTCTAGTACTGGACCTGCCTGCTGCCCCTAAATGACAAGGTGGCGGTCCCCAATTTTAGCACAGCTCCCTCACCGGAGTCTAAGAATAAAATATTTGTCACGTTCTGCTTTAGCATCACAGACCATCAGGGGCCAAATAAACTACTGATTTACATCCCATGCAATCTCTGCAGGATAGAGACCACATCTACCTTCCTGTATGACCAATGCCTGGCAAATCAGGGCCCCGATTCTGGTTGTAGCCTGTGGCTGCCGTCGTAATATAAATACAAAGTATGTCCCCATGGCCGTGGGCTACATCTTAATACAATCCTTTGTGAGCCGCCTCTACCCTTCCTCCCTTATTTGCATTCATGCCGCCCCCGCATTACGCCTCCCATTTGCAATCGGGCAGCCCCCCCCCTCAAAAAATGCGCAGCCCACCTCCCATTTGCGCGTGCGAGACAATTTTGTGGCAGTTGCTTCCGTTCCTTTGAACTATTTTGCTGCTGATTCCTGAGGCGGAGGGTGGCTCCCATTTCCTCTCCCCCGATGGAGCCGAGGCTATGAGTGGAGGCAGCCCGGCTGTTTTCTTTCTCCCCCCCCCCGCCCCAGCTGTTTCCACAGGCCGCCAAGTTCCTCAGCCGATGCAAACGGGGCCTTAGCAAAAGCAACTGGACGCCGGAAGGCGGAGCCAGAAAGCACATGACGCAGCCGCTTTCCCCGGACCGACTGCGGCCATAGTGGGTCTGTGCCCTCCCGGTTATATAGCCCGCCTCGGTGGGCAGTAGCCGCTCCGTCTGCGGGACGCCGGGGACCGAGCGCCGCTGTCAGGTTTGCGGGGATCCGGTCACGCGTGTGTCTGGCTGCCGGCGGTGCGGGGAGGCCTGGCCGCTCGGGGGGGGGGAGAAGCGGCCTCTTTCAAACTCCCCATTTTCTCCATGGAAAAATTCGCCGAGCGGCTTGAGTGACACCCCCTCCCTCCCCCGGCCCCCCCCCCACCCACCCAGTGTTTGCGATCTTGTCAGAACGGCCATTGCCCGGGCTGTGTGGAAACGCTTCACAGGGGCCCCCGCCATGTTGGGGGGGCGGACTGCGGATCATAACAGTCCTGTGCGGGCGGGGGTGGGGGGGCGCGTTGTCCCTCCCGCTGCCTGAAGCCGCTGCGCGCGGCTCCTCAGGGACGGGCTGAGCGGGGCCAGGAGGCCCGCCTGCTAGCTCCGACGGCTGGGCGCGAAAGGCCCGCCCCCGATCCCCCCCCTCCGAGCTGCTTTTCTTGCCCCTTCCCCGGCTCTCCACAGAGCCTGGCCCCTTCCACGGGTGCAGCGCGGCGCTGCTGAATTGCCCTGGCGTCTGTGGTGGGGGGGGGGCTGCCGCCCTTTTACACCAGGGGCTGCCTTTGGCCTCTCGGCTGTACTGAGCCGCCGCATTGGGCGCCGACTGATTGGCCGCGCCGGAGAGGGGCGGGGTTATTTAGTCTGACGTCACAATCCTGCAACTCGGTAACCAGCTATTTATAACCCTGCCCAGAAGCCGCCCGCCTGTGGAAGTAGAAGAGCCGTTGGGGCTGGGTCGGGCGAGAAACTGATTTATACTTACAGAGGAAGGGGGAAAAACAAAAACCAAAAAAAAAAAGCGCGAGCGCAGCGGAGGCCGTTGTGGGGGGTAGCCTGACGCCCTCTGCCTTCGTTGTCTAGTGATCGAGCCCTCCGCCTGCCGAGTTTTTTTTTTCTCTCCGTGAGCGCGTGGACAAGATGGACCCTCTCCGCAGCGAGGAGACCGAGGGGGAGATTCCCGGCCTGGGTGAGTATCCGCTACCCGCCGCGTGCGCGGGTTCCAGAACCTTCCGAGTCGCGGCCGCGCGGGGATCGGCCCAGCCTGGGGGCCGCGCAGGCCGCGCGAGCCCGGAAGTGGCGGGTTGGCGGCCCAGGGCGCCGCGGCCTTCTCCTCCTTCCCCCCCCCCACCCTTCCCGGCCTCGTGGCGCACAAAAGAGTGGGGCAGCCGGCTGGGGAACGTACCCCCCGTGTGAAGGGGCCCCCCATCGGCGGTCTGAGTCCGCCCCCGCCCCCGATTGCGGCGGATGGGCCCCGATCACGGCCCTGTCTCTGCGCTAGGCCCGTGGCGCGGCCCACAGGCCGCCGCGATAATGGAGCGCGGCTTCCGCTGTGGCCTAGGCCGTGCCTGGCACCGGGGATGTGCGGAAGCCGCTTCACTCCCCCTGCCCTATCCCACGCTCCTCCCCGCCTGCTGAGAGCTACCTGGCTCCCAAGATGAGCCTTATTCACGCATTTGGGAGTAGTTTCGGGTGTAATCGGGAGCCCTAGTTAAGAGTAAAGCGAGAGTCGCCAGTCTGCTGGGTTGTGTCCGCCCATGCGGAGAATGGCGGGGGGAAAAGAGGCCCGTAGAGTTCATCTGTCTTTGTTAGCCCTCCTTGCGTTTATTTCCTGCATTTTTAGAAGAGTGCTGGCCGTTTCACACATCTGCCATTATTCAGTAAGCTTTCTGTATGCTTTAAAAATATTCAATAGCATTTGCTTGGGTGTCAGTATAGAAGGCTACCTGTTTAAGAGTTCATTGTGGTGGAAATATTAATTCCAGTCATTAGTTCATGTATGCAGTTAGTCATTAGCATAAATATTGCGAAATATTGACTCCGTAACACAGAAACTAATTGCAGAAGTTTGTGGAAGCCATAAATGTTGTTGCTTAAAGTAGTAAAGTTGTTGCTTAAACTATGCCAATTGTGAAATATCTTAGGTTTTTGATGACTTTCTAGCTTCTGGGTTGTCAGCCATTTGTCCATAGTTAACTTTTCTCCCCCGATTGGTAACCCCCGCTGCAACACTCCTTTATCTGAAGTTCTTACTGATGAACTCACCTTTTGTGCCTTGGTGCTCTGCTGTTCCCTATCTTGGGTTCAACCATATAGCACGCTGGCAGGTTTCTTAGGCAACTGAGTGTGCCCTGAGATTCTAGCTTCCCCCTAAACGCAGTTGACTGGAACTCTAGTACAATTACAGAAGAGGTTTGGAACCATTGTTCAGAGTCCCTTGAGTGGTGGGATGGCAACTAATACTGAAAGTGAGTGCTTCAGCAGCACTCCTTGTGTACCTCCTACCATTAAATAGGAGATGCATTGGGGGGGTGGTGGGAGGGGCAATCAGGCTATGTTTACACCAGGGGTTCTCAAACTTCATTGCACCCCCCCAACCCCTTCTGACAACAAACATGACCTGACCCAGGGGACTGAAACCTGAGCCCTCCCTAGCCCTAAGCCAAATCCCAAGGCCTTCCACCCCAGGTGGGGGACCTGTAACCTGAGCCCTGCTGCTCTAGGCTGAAGCCCTTGGGATTTGGCTTCCGCCCCAGGTGCGGGGGTTGGGGCCCCAGGCCCCAACAAGGCTAGAGCCAGCTCTGGGATACACAGTTTGAGAACGGCTGGCCTATACTAAGGAGGTTACAACAGCAGAGCTGTACCACTGCAATTGTCCTGCTGTAAGGTCTCCTATGTACCCACTCTATGCCAAGGTGAGATACCTGGCCTAATTAAACCACCCCCCATGAGTGGAGGTAGTGATGTGGGATGTTGCACTTTTTTCTTCTTGGTGAAAGGTATGTTGGGTGGGGTCACATCCCCCCCCAGGCTTGAGCTTGCAGTTAAAAGTGCTGTGTAGACCAAGCCTTAGTACTGTCTGCCCCAACATAGAAGACCTTAACTTTTGTGTGGCATGACAATGGGGCATTTGCAAAAACAGTGCATTAGTTTGTCTGTTACAAGAGGCATAGTTTGAGGCTTAAACGGACTTTTATGATCGATGGGTGAGTTAGGGGAAAAGGAAAATGGTCAGATGCAGAATCGGGGCTAAAATTAACAAGGCCTGAATAGCAAACATCAGGAGTTTAAAAATAGTAATATTATATCATTGAATACACTGAATTTAGTTATGTACAGTAGTCTAGACTTTGGGTTTCCTAAAAAGTTTCTTTAAAATTTCAAACAGTCTGATCATTCTTATTAATCTTTAAACCATTAGGAATTCAAAAAGCTTTGACCTGTTAAGAAATCTATAGGATTGAAGTGTTTAAAAAAAATCTTGTAACAGTTTGTAACAAGAACAAAACTTGTTACTGTGAAAACTTCCACACATAGCTCTACCTGTACATACACCCTTGACCTGAAATGCCCCTCTCTATTTGTGATAGATTGCTTTATATCACAGCATTTATAACTTGGTACTGCACTTGAGTGGATTTCCATGAAGTCTATCCTAAATGAGTAACAATAATGCCCTCCTGATCCTCCCAGAGGAGAAGCAGGATGTGTGTTTGAGGGAGAGGGGAAAATCCAATATTTAGAATGCTGGATAGAGTAAGTATTGGGGCTTTTAGGTGGCTATACAGAAAGGCTGGAGATATATATTTAAAATGAGAAATGGGCTTGACTTTAGGGTGGGAGAGTAGAATATGAAAATAAAGTAGCTCTTAAACTAGGGGGGAGAACAATGGGATATGGTATAGGATTCTTGCCTAACATGCAAGGTTATTGTTGTAGATGGTTATCACCACATTAAAGTATCTTTTTGTAAGATCCTAGTGGAGACAGATTAAGCAAGTATAGTGTTGATCTTGCCTAGCTATCTTAGTAAAAGCTATAGGGAGCTTGTCTCCACTAGGTTTTACAGCAAGATACATATCACTGTTACCTCTCTGGGTGGGGAAAAAACAATTGGCAGTGTAGATGACGCCTTTCTGGTGCAAGTCGGTCACTTGGTCAAGAGGTTCCTTGGTCATATCTCCACTAAGGATCCCTCTCCCCCCCAAACCCTGATTTTAATAATCCTGTATAGGGGAGGCAGCATCATCTCCATTTAAAGTAAGGGACTGGGAGAAGACCTGGTATTAATGATAAATCTTGTATGGCTTCTGCTACTGGTTTGCTGTGTAGCCTTAAGCAAATCACTTACCCCTTAACTAAGAGTAGAGGGGGAAGTCATTAAACTAGCTCTGGCTATCTGGTGTAGGTAGCAAACTGAAGACACTAGTGTCAGTCAAATTTAAATTAACTCAATTGAGCTAGCTTGATGGGAAGGAGTATGCATTTTCCTCCTAGTCAGTGCCGTAAGGTCCAACTTTTATGGTGCTTAATATCCATGTTCCCATTGAAGTCACCTAGAGTTGTTATGCCCTTAACCTTTCTAGTCTGTTTCCCCAAACTGTACAAGGTAATGCCTCGATCATCAGACAGCTACTTAAGTGTTTATAATGCTATCTGATAAGCAATATCTAATGGAGGGTGGTGTTGGCTAATCAGTCACAGTCCTTGTATAGAGGAGACCCGAACTGATCCTATTTCTTGGGGTTTTTTTTGGTCTTCTCCCCAGTATCTGCCTTAAATGAAGCGAGAAGGTAATATCAAGGGAACAAATGCTGACAATCCCAAGAGTTTAACTATTTATTGTAGCATCTAGGGAACCCAGTCCTGTTGTGGTAGACTTTGTACAGCAGTACTGTAATCAGACAGTTCCTGCACTGAAGGGGGTGCATGGTATGGCGTTCGCTATACAAATTATCACCATTGTCAAGGTTTCTGTAGCCTTGTGGCAAAGGGGAGTCTTAAGGACAGTAGTAGCTTGTAGGCATGAGACTTTTCTCATCCCTTTACAGCTAATGTACAGTTTTAATGCCAACACTTTTTCTATAACTAAAACATGGAATCAAACTCAAGTCATAACTGAAACTGAGTTTTAAACATTGTCCCCAAAGCAAATTATCAACACTTGAAACCAACAGACACTGCAACTTTAAATGTATGGCCTTACATTTAAAAACAAAAACCCCAACAGTTTATTTAGACTGACAAGTCTTGGTTGCTTGCTTCCTGCTTGAGCAAACACTCACCCTTGACTGTAAGCCATTTCCTTTAACAAGACTCTAATGCTTACTGTAGCTCTTCAGTACTTTTGCTTAATCTCATCATTTTTAAAGTCTTCTTTAACCTGTAAAACGGGCACCTTTTTTGAGGTTGTCAAAATCCACCCTACAAAATAGAAATGTCCATATCATACTCTTAGCAAAATATAAACTTCTATTTAAACTTGGTAGCCTTTCTGGTTGTGAAGGTCCTTTTCCAGGTATGATTTGTCATAGTCTGCAGCTAGACTGAAACAATAGCAAGAAAAGGCATGAATTGTCACATTTTTCTCTGTTAGATGTTAATGCTGAGCCTGATGACCTAGCTAGAGAAAATTTAATTCAGTCGCAAGGAATGACTTCTGTGGATGCAGGTATGTATTGGTCACTCTGCATTCTGACAATAGTATCCTCTATTTTAAGAGCTTATCACGCTAGGGAAAACTTATTTTCAGTCTCTTCTATGAAACCTCTTTCTGTGGAACAATTGTCACATTCTGTCCTAATTTCAGGAGAAAGTGGGAGATTTCTTGAAATGCTGATATCTTTTGTCTTCCTTTGCTAGCTAAATGGATTAGTGTATATAGTAAGATGCACTTGTAAAGCTTGCTTTGGTGCAAATGACCCCTTCAAAGGGTTTAAAAAATCCTGGCATTTAGAAGGCTTTTTTTTTTTTTTTGGATAACTAGACAAGTTGCCCACAGGCTAGCAATATTTTAAACCTGTGGAGCTTGTACTTTACCTTTGGAACTGACTGTAACAGGTTGTTAATAACTAGTTTCTCTCTCTCTCCTCCCTCCCTCCTCCCCCCCCCCCCCCCGCGCGCGTGCACACTCCTTTAACAGGAAACAGATTCAAAGTACCATAGTAGAAAACCTGAACCAGAATTCTA